CCCCCCCCCCCTATCTCTTCCCGAATACTGTACGAGTCTTGGGTGACGGGCAAATAAGCCCGTGGGCTCTAAAGTCTCGCTTCTTCGGTCTGTCGTTAGGAATTTTCATTGAGCGCAATAACTGTTACATATTACAAATAAAAAAAAATAAAAAAATGAAAATTGCGATCAAATAAAAAAATAAAGTGCTCCAAGAACTGGACTAATACCAGCCGATACTTACCTCTTGTACCAAACTATATGGAGATTGTATCAAAGCTTTCTTGAATTGATTCGTTGATATTTCCAATACTCTATAACATAGATATATATTACTGTACCTGTATGCAATGAAAGTACACCTATCTCCCATCACACACACACACACACACACACACACACACACACACACACACGTACACACACGACATGAACAAATGTAAAGACGAATCGATATAGAGATGTAGTCATGAATTTTCTGATTTTCCAACAGGTGAACCCAGACGCGCACGACCGCACTACCCAGCAGATCCAATCGAAGCTGGGCAACTACTCGATGGTCAAGCATCTGCTCGAGGAGCCCCGCCGGCTGTACGGAATCGACCAGCACGGAGTCCCGCCCTCGCCTGTCTCGGCTTCCTCGGGCAGACTCAACGCGTCCTCCGCCCATAACACCCCGTCGAGTCTCAGGCTGAACTCCTCGACGAACCGCAACTCGCCGTCCTCGCAAGAGTTCAAGAAACCCGGTGGTCCCCGCTCCTCGACCGCCGCCCCACCCCCGCCCTCGTCTTCCGTGACGTCATCGTCTTCGACGTCGTCGACGACCCTGTCGTCCCACCAGCACCGAGGCGGCTTCGCCAAGCCTCCGGACGGCAAGCCTCCCCACGGCGGCCGGGTCGGCTATCCCGGTCAGCCCGCCAAGCACGGCGAGCACCGCGGCCACGGCGCCATGCCCCCCAAGGGCCCACCGCCGCCCCCACCCTCGTCGGCGCTGGCCCCCTCGACTTCTTTGGGCCCTCAAGGAATGCCAGTGATCGCCGGCGCGGTCCAGCAGCAGCCCGGAATCCCAGGGCACGGCTCGCAGGGCAGACTGCAGCATACCGCCAGCGTTAGGCTGCCCAAGCTGCCCATCGATACGGTGAGTGTATATAGGTTGAAACGTGACGCAATATCATTTATCATCGAGCCCTCTGACACCGCACGAGTAAGATCTTTTTTTTTTTTTTTCTTTTTTTTTTTTTCCGGCCTTGTTCGTCTATTTTCGTCATTAATTAAAACCGAACCATTGTACCCGACGCTTCGCCGTGGCGTGTATACTTGAATTTACAGCTCGGCTCGGTTGTGCATACGTATATATAATTGTACGGTTGACGCCACTGACAGTGCCGTAGAGGAGCGAGGATGCAAATGAGCATCTCTTTCTACCTCGCGTTCATTGATCGCTCAACCGTATATATGTACAGCAGATTTGATAATCGTTTGCGCCCCTATACAGTTTGGCTGTCAAAGTAACTCTTACGCGTTCATCAAGAATGATGCATGTCTAACTTGATGATGATTAATAAATATTTTTTTCTTTTCTAACGGTGTTTGCAGGGATCGAGCTCGAGGCACATGAGCAGTAGTAGCACGCCAGAGGTGGAGACGATTTTCAAGGTGAGTGACGCTCCGTATATTAATCCTTTTTTTTCGCTCCTCGACCCGCGACGTGAGCATCCCTCCCGAAAAACACCCGCGAAGCCGTAGCTGCTCGCGAAATTTCTCATCGTCGAGCAACAGCTGTAGCAAGTAACGGTGTATACATATACAAATAGGGACAAGGGAGGAAGAGAAACAAAAGAAAGTGTACGTATAAATATATACACTTGTGGTCAACTGGGTTGCCTCGCGAAATCCAAGGATCTTCTCCTCTACGTGTCATACAGACGCATCGGTAATTCGCAACAACGATCCCGAGTCTCGCGAGAGGAGGTTAGCGGGCGTAGACCAGCTCGTAATTAGCAGTCGCGCAAGGGTACACACATACACATATAGCATCGGAGAGACGATGCCTGTGTATATACACGTGTATGTATGTATAAGACGTATATATACGCGTACATAGAGACCACGGGGGCCTGGCTATTTTCCCACGGGCAGCGGCCGTGAGAATGATTCACGGTTCTGCGGAGAGTAGCCGGTGCGCGCGAGCTGCTGGTGGTGGTAGTGGTGGTGGTAGGTAGGCAACAGTATATAGTAGTGAGAGTCCGAGAGTGCGGTGCACTCCGCCTCGTTGACGTGTATGTATGTATATGTGCACAGTAGTGCTCGCGGATGTGTGCGGTGCGCGAGGGAGAGAAAGGAACGAGGAAGAATCGGAAGGAGAGTCTCTTCTTCTCCTCGGGTCCGTTGGTGCTGCAGGCGAGAGAAAAAGGGCGATTCGGTATACACACACGGTGGTGTGGCGGCATCTCGCGAGGGAGGGAGATGGGCGCGCGCGTGCGAGGGAATAGTTCGGATGCCGGCGCAAAGAGTCAGAGAGATTTCGTGTGCCCATGGGATGCACCCTCCGTTTGCTGTTTGAGCCACACCACGGCAGCGGCGGCCTTATCTCACTTTTTCTCGTCCTCGCGATTCTCTGCTATTATTTGTTTTTTGTTTGTTTTTTTTTTTTTTTTTTTTCTCGTCTCGGCTCGTCCGTATTTTTTAACCGAGATCCCTTTTTCATCGAGCTCACGTACGGTTTGCGCAAGCCACGTACCCAATCAATCGCAACGATTGCGCATACAACTGGCAGGATAAGGAAAAGCTTTGCATAGCATGTAAACCAAAAACTAATGTCTGATGTATATCTGCGCGAGAACGGCCGATCCGTCACCATATATGACACCGATGATACACTCGAAAGAAGGCACCTCAGCCTCCGGCGGCACCCTGCGATTCGTAAAAATTTAATCGGCGCCTCGACTGGACGATATGATACGAAAGATAAAGTAGATGAACCAACCGAGCTTTTACAGCGAATGGGAAACAAAAAGAAAAAAAAAACTGTAGCTGCACTCTTGCGCGTAACAAAGAAACTCAAAGGGGATGAGAAAAATGCCACCGAGCCGGCAGAAAGAAGCAGCTCAAAGCGGCGCGTCAAAGTGCGCCGTATGAAAAGGTGAAAAAAAAGGGCTGAAAAAAAAAAAAAATATCAGAAACGAAAGAGGAATCAGCGCCCCATAGTCGTAAATCCGAAAGGAAGGTTCTCCCCCTCGAAACGATGGTATCCCTGTTGTAGTAAAATGTACAATATACACTTGCCCTTAAGAGCTCGGTCGTAATAAAGCGCATATAACACGCACAGTCGATATTGCACTCTATGATCTTTCGGTGGTGTAATGGCTTCTATATGGATATGGTCGGGTGTCGGTCAGTTTGAGTTATACCCCCGTCCACTTGACTCGATTGAGCAAATCGTTTTGTTTGTATTCTCGATGTAATAGATTGTAAACACGCGCTGCTGTACCTTCGTATAGTAGTTGGACGCGCATCACGTGAAAACCGCACCCAATAACCCAATGATGATCCTCCAAATGCGATCACGAAAACACCGATGATTGACGTTCAACGGGGAAGCGTTCCGGGACCGTAAAACTTGACCGACACCCACTTTGCTCCTCCCACCCACGTATTTTTCAACATATAGATAGAGAAAGGTACACGTACGGGGCGAACACCCCACGAGGGGCTCGTAGCCTTCTAGTGTCAAAACACACCCCTCGAGTGTGTATTACGGAGAAGCAGCATCAGCAGCCCCCACGGATACATACAGATACGTCACACGTACATGTACCGTTGTCGTAGTATCGATCGGAAAACGATTCGTCGGTGAGTCATCGGTGAAAAAAAAAAAAAAAAAAAAAAAAAAAAAGACGAGAGCAGAGCGTAGAACACGTGGCGGCCCATTGTATTGTACTGCGTCGTCCGTGTGCAGTTGGATCACCGGCTTTTGACGTGCACTATTAATTCTGCACGGTGATTACCGCAGCCCCTCTTTATTCCGATTCATCTCTCGCGCATCTTTGTATTTTTCTTCTCTGTCCCCCCTTTATTCATCTTCGGCAGTGGTTTGTTGTTGAGTACAATATATGGATCGCGACGAAAAGAGGATTGGCCCGCGTTGGCGGTGTCTTACGGGTGAGAGCTCGAAATTTCGTGAGCTTTCCTCTGATGTACTCTCTTGGGAAATATATACGCGAGGGTGCAACTCCGTTCGTATACATATACACTTGATTTTCTTTGGATCTATTCAGCTACAACTCTCCGGGATGTGAGTTTCAATTAGACTCGATTTTTATAATACTCGCCTCAGTTTCCACTGTTACGTACCTATTTTCTTATGGTAATATTGAACGCGATGTACTTTGTGTGGCGATGGTAAAAAAACAATATTCTCGGGCATACGTCGACTCAATAAGTATATATAAAAGCAACATTCGCCCATATTCGTTGTACTTACATACTGCAGTAAAATCTCTCAACCACCTGACCATCCGATCGACGAGTGATGGTTCACTTGTGTTGCTTCTGAGCACACACACACACACACACACACACTATACAAAAAATTATCGGCATACAATAGAAAATACACCCCCTCCACCACAGGGATAGAAGCCAATGTAATAAGCCACCTCCCCGACCCCTACCCTCAACCAGCCGAAGAGCAAGCGAGAGACAAGAACTGTCAAAAGAGGGAGAGAGAGAGAGAGAATGTATCGGTAACACAGTTAAGCGAAACAGTATTAGTATAGCAGCATCAGCTCGGTGGCGAGCAAACACCCGTAATGTGCATCTTTGGTATGCGTATACATATTATACATAGGAGCAACAGAAGAAACTCTTACTCTCATTCCCCACGTATATAATATACTTACGTATAGTTAGACATTTGGCAAGCGCTCGCGTCATATATATATACTCGGGAGTAAGGTGTACAGGAGAAGAGCTTTGGGGACTCTTCTTGCTGGAAAATACAGTTGCAGTATATATTATACGTGTAATACACGTGCACTCAGAATCAACAAACTCACACTGGGAGAGAGGAGAGGACGTCGGGGCGATATCGATCGTGCATGCACCACGCGGGAACCCTTTTGTTGTTCCTTGGGGTTGAGGGGGGAGGGGGGTGGTTCTGCCGTGTTGTCGGGAGCGAGATAGAGCGGGAGGAGTTAGGGTAGAAACTTGCTTAATTGTCGCGATATTGTGCGGATTATGCGGGAGCGTGTGTCGTCTACGTCTATATATATATATATATACATATACATATGTATGGACTCTGCCGCCACCACAACCACTGTGGAGGCGCTTGACTCCGAGCGGGAGAGGAGATGAGCTTGCAGCGAACTTCTCGTCTCTTCTCTGCTGATGCGGTGCGGTGTTGTTGTTCTCAAGATTGACGCAGGGACTCGATGCGCCCATTGTATACCTTTTGTCTTGCACAAACCCCCCCCCTCCTCCCTTCTTCGTTTCTTTTTCGACGTATGAGTTATTGTGTCACGTGCTTATCTTTGATTCTCCGAGGGGCTCGTTGTTGCTCGCACATGGGCGACGCATTTAGGACTCGAGCTTGCGATCAAGTGCGCGTTTTAGCTCAAGTATAGTGTAAACACCGATTAATTACCCTTTGGGCCGAAGAGTTGACAAGGGCGAATACGGGGTGGGCCGATGCGAATTCGAGAGGCGAGGAGATTACTCGACACGCGCTCGTCGTGGTGGAGAAGCAGCTCGTTTTAGTTTCGGGTTGACGAGAGTGGCTTAAATGAAAATCGGATTTTCCGGCGCCCGCCGCTCTTGGCGGCTCGACGAAAATGTTTGCAAAACTAAACGGGTCGACGGCTCGTGGAACTGTGTATATGGTTGGGAGCTTCATCAGCTTTGTTGTTTTTATTGCATAGTTTGTAAACAAATGATAACGTTGGAGAGGAAACTTTTGGGAAATTAAAGTTTTGACGATACATAATTTTCATTTCTTGCTAGATTATCACATAAAAGCGACAAGGTTGACGATTGTTAACATCTCTCAAAGTATCACAGCGATCAACGTGAGTGTATTTACGCCACTCCGTGTCGTTATAATCCATATAAATACGCTCGTGTTTAGTTTTTTTTCAAGTAAACAAGTTTTCGTTGCGGATAAAATTTCCATACAGCGAGATGATCGCAGTTGGTTGCTGCTGCTGCTCCTTTCGAAGTATAATTTCGTGTTTACCGATAAAATTAATGCACACGTAAAAGGAGTAAGCATCTGTAAGTCGGTATAAGATACGCGCTAAATGGAAATAATCAGAATAATTATTGTACGCCCCGCGCGCACGAGACGGTCCTTTGAGATGTTTAACGCAGAAATTAATTTTCCACAAACAAGCGTACATTTCTATCATATGTTTATGTATATTATATCAATTACCACCGCGTGCTCGACATAATACCTACACTCTCTTTCTCGTAAACAAGTTTCCCACTGGCGACAAAAGGGGCGGTTTACGAGTTGGAGTAACGCGTGTCGTCGATTTACGGCTCTTCTTTTTTTCCCCTCCCTTCCAACGCAGACAAGCCGCTATATTATGTTTATGCTTTATGAGCGCTTAAATTTTTTTCCAAAACTTAGTTTTAATTAGGTATGATAACCC